AAAGATTAAATTAATATCTTAGATAGTATTCTACAAGAACACAATGAAAAGGAATTTATAATCTAACCAAAAAAATAAAGGATTAAAAATCTGATGCCAAAAGTTTTGAGATTACTTGAAATAGCATTACAACAAATAAGGAACAAATCATTAACTTACAAATTAATGCAACCCTACAGAAGAAATACAAATTAAAAAGAAAGCACCAAAATCTAAAGCTAAGCAAATGCAAATCAGCAATACAAAAGCAAGTTAAAATAGCAAGATATAAGTATAATCAAGTTAAAATACTAACGAAGCTAATAATTTATATGAAAATGGGACAAATATACAATTTAATTAATTTATCATATAATATATTTAGTTTAAAATAATTAAGATTTATTCAATGAAAATTAATCTAAATGCATTTTTATTAATCTAAATATGTTCAAAGTAATTGTAAGGATAAAAAGCTTTTTTTTTTTTTTAATTCCAACTTTCTAATTAACGGTTAGTACAATCAATGGCTGACATACAATCATAAAAAAACAAGTCAAAAAACTGAAAAAATAAAAATGTCTGAGAAGTACGATAAAAATCAAAAGAAGATCTGAAGAGCAGAATTCAAAATTGTTTTGACAAAAGTCTATATATATAAATATTAAAAGCAATGATTTGCAGTTTTTAGCACTGTAAAATCCCAACAAAGACTTCCAGCGAGTTTTAATCCAAACTAAAAGAAAAGGAGGAAGATATCTTTCCATGGAATTACAATACAAAAAAAAAAACAGATGAAAATACCGGCAAATTAGTTTCTCCCTGCTCAACACCCAAGCCGATCAAAAAGGAATATCAATCTATCATTTTAACTTTAGTCGCCTCCTAACAGCTACGAATTGGTGAAAGATTTGAGGGTTCTTTCAAGTGATCAACGACAAACATAAAAGAAGAAGATCGCCAGAGAGAGAAGCAGAAGAAGAGTGCTGATGCTATAAAATTGAATAAAAAGATCAACCAAATGGAACTCCACCTTTTCTCCTAATAAAGAAGAAGACAGCAAAAGCAGGAAACTGAGAGACAGAGAGAAAGAAACGAAGAGAGAACCATCGATTTTATATAGGCTACAGCAGCTTCCTGATCATAGTCAAGAAAATAGAGAAGCAATCTCGGAGGCTTAGACCGCTGTCCACGTGGAAGGAAGGAAGTAAAACCCTTTCTTGGCGATGTCTACAATAGGGAAATTTATAGCCAATGTGAAGCTCATACAAAGGGCTGTTTTGTAGATTGGCGAAGGATTTGAGCCGAGCAGCGCGATAGAGGACGATAGGCCGTCGATGAGCTCACGTGAAGATGGGTTCTCCTGCGCAAGGGAGTGTCGTCTAGACTCTGCTCATAATAATTTTTCATTAACTACGATATTAGAGCGCAATGATAAAACCTTTTAATTAATAAAATTGTGTAGCAGCCAATGTAGCTGCTGTAGTCTGTTTCTATAGTAGTCAGGTGTCGCGTCTGTAATATAACATCAGATTAATAATACTCTTCTCTGTCTTCTCTTCTTTCTCTCCATCTAGTTTTGTTCTTATTTCTTGTTGTACCGTGAGCTTCAACATGGTATCAGCCAAGTCTTGATGATCTAGGATCGAATGGAGACATTCCCTACCTTCTCTGATTGGCGAGCAAACCGAGCTTGCGAACTCTGAAACCCCTTCATCTCTTCAATGCTCAAATTTGTTCTTTATAATCTTCAAGAACATCGTGAAAAGCCCTCTTTCTACTGACAACTATTCATTATGGCATTTTTATATCTCCAGATCTGTTGTGCTAATGGGTTTGAATCATTTCTTGATCCCAAATCTCCAACTCCTGGAAAGCTTCTACACCAAACCGACGGTACTACCGTTCCTAACTCTAGCTATGCCAATGGCTTCTTACCGATCAAAAACTTAGCAGCAGCAATATATATATATATATATATATATATATACACACACACACACACATTACAGTACTTGACTAAAGATTATAATATAGCAATGAAATAAATAGTTGGGTATATATAAATATCAGGAAATACCTACCAACTCATACAAATCATAACTTGGAACCACAGCTACTAAACCAGTTTTTTTCCCTTGTTCTGACCCGAAGCAGAACGCATAATAAGTATAAGTTAACACAACTCAATTGGTCACACCATCAATTTTAAATTTTTAATAATTAACTCATTATGCATTTAATGAAATATTAGAAACAATTAATAATAATTCACAGTGTTGTGTAGGGTAATACTTGCAGTTATTAGAAATTTAATAAAAGATATTATCAAAGTAAATAGACAAATACTCCATATATTAGCGGAGAAATAAACGCATTTTTCTCATACGTATATATCTTTTATCAGAAACATATATAAAAAATTAAGGTTATATGATTATACGTGCTAACATATCAGCAAATAGGCTCTTATGACTTTCAAATACTTAGCACAGATCAAGTATTTAGAACATGGCCATATGACACTCTATGCATTCAATAAAATAGAACTTTTAATATTACATCTCTATAGAATCACACAATTCAAACATATGAGTGTAGATATAATTGCATTATAATGAAAGAAATATAATTAACTAATTTCAGACACATACATTAATAGGCAAAATATTTAACAACTAAGCAGGAATTTATACTTTTAAAATTTCAACAAATTATTGGAGATCATTCGGAATATCATTTTGTTTGCATTAAATGTACTATAACATTATTTTTTAATTTGCTTAAAAAAACATACATTTCAAATCACCTAACAAATCTTTTAAAAAAATATCTAAATGTTCTGAATGGTCATATTTACAACATATAAAGTTACTTAGTAAAAGTTTAGTGAGTGCAAAATTATCATCGTTTTTAAGTTACAAAATTATAGTTTAAATAAAAGAATCCTAAAAACATGAATTTTGAGAAACTTGCTTATTACCAAGTTCGAAAGGAATTGTTGAGGTGACGACTGTTGAAGTCATTGCCTACGATGACATTTAAAATAACTGTTCAATATATAGCACCATAATACAAAAGATTGAATAAAATAAGAGCTTCTCAGTGAGATGAATATAAGTTGTTTGCCAACGATGAGCGTTTTTAACAGCTAATCATCCCAATTTAATAAACCCGTGGCTTTCAAATATATCATAAATGCTTTTAAAACTTCTATAATTTTTTTTTTTGGGAAATTATGGGCTTAGCCCTTTCCATTAAACTGAAATAGTTACATGTAATAGAAACTACTGTAAAGATAAAACTTTATCAAAACAAAGATGAAAAGACTATATAAAAAAAAAACGGGGAAGAAACAGACAAAACTCCCCAAGAAGAAGCCAACAACAAAATAAAAGAACAGGAAGAGAAGATAAAAACAACATCACCAGAAACAGTGGGATCCATAAGGACCCACGGGCTCAGGATTTGCCACTCTCTCTACCTGGTTGCAAATTGTATAGCCCGAATAAAAATCTGCCCTCCAAAGGAGAAAATGGCAAATCTGTCATCCTTGCCCAGCATACCAGCCATCACAAACTGC